CAGGGGCATCCAGGTGACACAGCAAGTAAAGGACACAGCTGGAGTCACACCAAGCTCTGTGTGCTCTGGAGTCCTCATTTGCCCTACTGCCTCCCTTCTCCTCCTCCTCCAGGCCCCAGGGATGGCCTGGCTGGGGACTAAGCACTAAGCATATGCAGTGATTTCCTGAGCAAAGAAATGAACGGGTTGGCCCAGGGCTGCAAGAGGAATCCATGGCCAAAGCAGCCCTGGCCGCTTCTGAACAACTGAGCCATTTAGGGGCCTTAAAATAGTAGCATTGCTCAGTGGGGTGCTGATCTCACCCGCGGGAGCCTGCAGTGTAGCTATTTGTTTCTCTGCACGGTTAAAGATATATCTTGTGAAGCTCACTGCTTCTCTTCTGTTGATGTGAATGAACTAAGCTCTGTGAAATGTGTGTGTGTTGGTTGCTTAAAATAGTTCAAGAGGAAGAATGTTTGGAAGCTTTTAGCTCCTTGAGTCTGTTTCCTCTGGATTTATGACACCTTAGAGAGAACCGGGCCTCCTCTTGTTTACTCTTCTGGCTTTTCCATTCTACCATATTTGAATCGTTGTGTCATCATAAGCCAAAGACATTTGTCACCAGAGAAAGTGGCAACCTTTCTCCCAAGTAATTTATTTGGGGCTTTTTTACACATTTAATTTTCTTTTAAAAGGAAAAGAAAAATGAGAAGCCGTGTGTTTGGGAATTGTCCCTTTCTCTGTTCCAGCTGCAAAGGGTCCAAGATCGCAGTGATAGTGTTTGATCTGGAGGGAGAAGATTTTCGGTTTTTGGGGGGTTTTTGGGGGGGGGAGGGTTGGTACCAGGGATCGAACTTGGGTCTTTGAGCTTGCGCAGCAGGCGGTGAAACCACTGAGCTAAATCCCTGGCCCTTTTTCGTATTTTTTTTCTTTATTCATTTGCACGAAGGCCTGCTGTGGGAAGCCGTGTGTTCTTACAACCTCATTCTGTAGCATCCAGGAGAACTCAGTTTCATTGCTCTTGTCAGTAATGTGGCCACTAGCCATCTGTGGCTAATTAAGTTTAAATTTGGTAAAATTCAATAAAGTTAAAAATCCCTTCCTCGGTCACACAAGTCACATTTCAAGTGCTTAATCATAATGTGTGCCCAGTGGCCACCCTACTGGACAACGCAGATATAGAACATCTCCATCATCACAGACAGTTCTATGGGACAACATAGCCATTAGACTAGGTCACCAGCCGGTCACTTGGGGCCAGCTTGCTGGCTTTTCATGGGTCTAAAAATTTGGACCATTCCTCCGTTTCTCAGAAGCTCTCTGTTTGTAGAAGCAGGAAGATTCATGGAAGGAGAGATGAAGGCCATTGATTCTTGTGGCTCTAACCTTTGGACCCCTGACGTAGGGTCATGTTTTATGATTTCCAAGCTGTGTGGCCTAGGGCAAGTCACTTAGCTTCTCTGAAAGAGGTGCCTTGTCAATGAAATAGTGATTTTAAAATACTTCCCAGGGACCCAGTGGGAATTAAACAAAATAGCAAAATGGGTATAAAACAGCACAATGTTTAGTGGTCTCAGCCTCTTTCAGAGATAGATACTGTTGCGGTTTTCAGGGTAGTTACTGTTGTATTTTCTTGAGGGAGCAGAATGCTACTGTTGCTGCTCCTGTTGCTCTTGTTACTATCCTCAGGCCTCCCTTCTCTATCTTCCTTCCTTTATACTCTTAGAAGAGTCTAAAACCAAACCCCGCTCCCAGCGAAGTAGGATGAGATCCCCAAACCCACCTATTTATCTGAATCACCTGAGGAGCATTAAAAAAATATATCGTTCAGATGTTCTGGCCCCATCTTTAGAGGTTTTAACTTAATATACCCTGGATAAATTCCAGAATGTAAAATTTTTAAGTGCCTCAAGATGCTTCAGCAACTGGCCAGTCCTAGAAATCTGAGGATGTTTGTTCGTATGAACTAGGAAATTTCACTCAGGTCCTACTTTCACTCAGGAACTGCCCGGTCCTTCTACAGCTGAGGTGGGCTCTTTCTAGAGATGTTTTGCCCAAAGCCAGCCTGTCAGAATCCGCTTAGAGACCTGGAACCAGGAGGGTTTCAGCTGGAATTTGGGCCTCCCTGAAACTTGAGTTTGCTCCCAAAGTTTCAGGCTGTGTGTCACATGAGCCCCGAAGTCCTTTTGATCCCCTTTGTATGGCCCGAGCTTCACAGAGTTCTCAGTGGGATCTTGGGCAGAGGTGGCTTTGGGAGCCATGGCCTTGAAGAGAGAGAAAGGCAGGAGAGGTCTCCAGAGCTGTAATGGGCCAAGAGGCTACTCCACCATGCGCTCACCTGGATCATGAGGCTATGTGACCTCCCCTTTTTATTAGTATCGGTTTGTAATACATAATCAATACATTCACTCCAGGGAATCAGTGCATATACATATCACATCTGGATCCTTTGCACTTCCCATTCCCCTCCTGCCCTCCTGTCTCCCTCCATTTCCAGATCCCCTTCCCATCTCCACATAGCCTAGCTTGCTGTTTCCTATCAGCTAGCTCTATTTTGCTCTTTATACTGTGGGTTTCTCATATAAGAGAAGTCATGTGATATTTAACCTTCTCTGTCTGATTTATTTCACTTAGCATTATGGTTTCAAGGTGTATCCATTTTCCTACAAATGACTCCAATTTATCCTTCTTTATGGCTAATATATAGAGAGATATATAGATATATGGATGTATATCACATTTTCTTTATCCATTCATCTATGGATGAGCATATAGGCTGCTTGCAAGATGCAGCTATTGTGAGTTGTGCTGGTATAAATGTGGATATGCATGTATCACTATAACAGGATGTCTTTAATTATTTTGAGAAGATATCCCCAAGATGTATAGCTAGGTCAGATTGTATTTCTATTTTTAGTTTTTTGAGGAATTTCCATACTTATTTTCATAGTGTTTGTACTAGTCTATATTTGACCTTTCTATGCCTCCGTTTTCCTTTCTGTGAAATGGGGATAGTACTAGAACTCACTGGCAGAGTGGTCATGAGGATTGAATGCTAGGGTGTAAAACAAAGCATCCATCACAGTGCCTAGATGTGGCAACCCCCTGAAGTGAGCTGCTGCTATTGTCCTTGCCGTTATTGCTGCCATTAGTGACTTTGGTTGTCACACAGACTTCTCTGCCATGAATTGTTTGCATTTTCTACTTGAAGAGGTATTATGTGTTTAGTCAGAAAAAGTGACCCAGAGCAGCATTAGCACTTCAAGTGGATTTGTAAATTAGTGTGTCTGAAACTCGCATGGTCTTTCCCCCATTTCTCCCTCCCCTGCCTTCTTGTGGGCGGTGGGGATAAAAAGCACTGAGGTACAGTTGTCACTTCCACACCTGTGATGGGGACCACAAGCCTGCTTTCCTCCTGCTCGATTGGGCTGTGTAAAGAGCCTCACCCAGCCACACAGGGCAATCAGAGCCAGGTCAGTTGTGCCGGATTCATCTGTGGTGTGAAATGCCTGTGTATTTATGCATTTGCCACTCATTTGCCTGCCTCCAGAATGTGCTAAATCTGTTTGGAGTGAGGAACTCCAAACAACTTGGAACCATGTGTAGGGAACCTGGTAGTTTTCTTCACAATTGCGACAGGAGATGGGTTTGGATTGGGGGACTCCAAATGCTACTGAGTATGATGTTATCCCCCGTCTCCTGCTGAGCCCAGTCCTACTTCAGGAAACATCAGTCACAGAGAAAGGAAGGACACAAGGCCAGGATATTGTGCTATTCTGTCTCTACTTGTATAACCTGAGGTCCACGCGGGGCCCTCCCAGGCTGACCAAGTTGCCCTTTGTGTGGCTTCCCTGATATTGACAAATCACTCAAGGTTAATGGGTAACTCTTGACTCTTCTTGCCCAATAGTTGCTTTGTGTGTTTTATGTGCTGTGGTCTCCTCCATGATCAGCACAGCCTCAAACCTCAAAGGGACCCTGTATGTGTGTATGGGTATGTGCACATGTGTGTGTCTGTGTGTGTGACATATGTATGTGTTAATCTGTAACGTGAGACGCCCATCTCATCTTCCTTCCCAAACTACAGGAGACTCTTAAAGCCATTCATTTCTAGGGCTGGCTGGTGGCTGAAACATCTTGAGGTATTTTTTTTTAATTACAATCTGGAACTTACCCTGGGCCTATTAAGTTAAAACCTCTAAAAGTGGGACCAGAACATCCGAACAATGCTTCTTAAATGCTCCTTGAGTGATTCAGGTAAATAAGCAGATTTGGGGCATCCCGCCCTACATCTGGGTGTTGGGTTTAGCTCTGGGCTCCTCTAAGAGTGTACAGCAGACAAAAGGTCCCCTTGAGGGGAAGACCAAGTCAAGAGAGGCCGGTGAGAGATGGCCTTTGAGGGTTGCGTCTGAGTGGTGGGATGGAGACCAGAGTTGGAACAAACCGAGCCAGATGAGGAGGGGAGAATGGGTGTGGGTAGCCAAGGATCTTGCTCAGTCCTCAACCAAATGCGAGGAGGTGGCAGTAGCAGGTGTTGGGTACCTTTCATGAGGTGACCAAGAGTCTGGTGGCTTGCCAAAGGCCCCACTGCTTATCCCATTTTACAGAAGAAACTGAGGGCTGGAGACAGTTAAAATGGCTCGTCCCAGGTCACACACAGCAGGTAACATTCGAAGTTAGTGCTGTCAGACTTCCAAGCCCTTAACTTCTGCACTGACGGTTTTAATAAAAAGTGTGAAGCTATTGGGAACAGGCAGGATCGATTTCTTGACGGGTGCTGTGTGCTCTCTCCTCAAGGCGCTGCCCACTATCCCTTCCAGTCCTGGCTCTCAGAACCTCTCTGTTGCCCTCTGGACCCAGACCAAGACTGGCACACAGTGAAATCTGTTCTTCCTGCTCAAGGGTGTGTTTCCACCTGCCGCTGCTGCCGCTGCTGCTGCTCCTTCCCCTTCCTTCCCCTTCCTTCCCCTTCCTTCCCCTTCCTTCCCCTTCCTTCCCCTCACTCCTTCCCCTCACTCCTTCCCCTTCCTTCCCCTCACTCCTTCCTCCTCCTCTCCTGAGCCCCTGCAGACAGCTCTTCTCCCTGGACAGAGGCCTAGCGCAGACTTCCTCATAAGTGAGTCAGGTTCTAGGAGTGCTCCTGTCACTGCCCAGGCACCAACTCAGTCAGGCTCCGTCTGGGTGAGCACTCATCTTCGTCTGGCCTTTGGGTTGAGGGTGTGCGTGTGCAGCTGGACTGCCTGGGTTCACACCCTAGGTCCACTTCTTCCTTGGAAAATGATATCGCAGCTCTATGCCTCTGTCTACTTATCTGCAAGACGGAAATATTACCTTCCTTGTATGACAATTGTGGGGGTTAAATGAATAGGCGCTTCTAAAATGCATGAAATAGTCCTGGCCCTGGTGTGCCCGGGACGTTGGTCATCAGGAGGGTGGTGACAATTACTGTTGGAAGCGTCTTTGGTGACCTGTACGTCGGAGTGCAGAGGAAGCCCACACTGGCACCTGCTCAGTAGAACAGTGGAGAGATCAGGGCTTTGGAGGCAGATCTGGGTTTGACCTCCACATATGTGGCTTTTTCAGTGTGATACTTGGCAGGTCTTTTAGACCAATTGTTTTGTTTTTTAATCTTTAAAATGTGACTGACAGTGGTGCCTATCTTATGATGTTGTAAAGATGGGGTACAAACACAGAAGCAAAGCTTCTCATAAGGTGCATGGGCTCAGCTCACAATGAGTAGGAGGAAAAACATGAATGAAGTGAACCTTAGTAATATTATAGTGGAAAAAAATCATCTCAAAAGATTACACTGTGATACAGTTTTTGTAAGGCTAAAAGAAATTAGGTACTGAAGGAGTCAGTTACAGGGATAATAAATATGATATAAACGGGAAAGTGAGGGGTGGCAAACGTGGATGAGGGCTATGTCCCTTGGGGAGAGGGATGGGGGACTAGAAAGGGGAAGCCTATGGTTTAGATGTAGATGGTGTCACGTCGCAAGCTCTTTGTTTTGGGAGGTGAGTTCACATTATTACAACTAACTAAAAGTTGTCATGAGCCAAGGATTATGATAAATTAGATTTGTGCACCTGAGGTTAAAAAACTAGTGGCTTCTCAATAGGTGGTGGCTATTTACTATCAGTAAGCCGTGAGCCACCTGAACCACTTTGTGAACCACCATTAATACCCTTTGAGATTGCCCACTATTTGTGCAAAATACCCTGAGAACTGAGTTTTTCCTCCTGTGGCTACGGGGGCTTCCACACGGGGGGGCGCCAAACAGGACTTTTACATCGCCTTGTTCCCCGGCTTTGGTGTAGGTCGTGGGCATAAGCTCCCGTGTGAGTCTGAACGAGCTGAACAAAGACAGGGCTGTTTGGCCCTTGCCACGCCAGATGGAAGGCTTCAGGCCCGTCACTTTCGGGGCATTCACGTCAGCCAGGAGGTTTTCTTTCCAAGGGAAGGAAATGTTTGGGTTGGAACAATCAGTGTTTGCCTTGGGATGATCTTAGGTCTCTCTGCTTTCATTGCCACCACCAAGCACCGCCACCTTTGCCTGTGGATTTTCTGTACCTGTGGCTGCCCTCCCTTCATGGGCGGGGAACACAGAAGACATTTGCGAGGCCCCAGTGATGTGCGCCTGTAAGCAGCGCATATGAGCTGCTCCTCTCCTCAGAATCTCCTCAGAACACCGCATATAGGCTTTGGAGTTAGAGCAGCCTGGGCTCACTTTGGGGCTCTTCACTGTGTGATTTGAGGCAGAGGCACTGTTTGCTTTTCCTGTGTTTGAAGCTGAGGAGCATTTGATGCAGAATCTTAAATGCACAGCTGAAGGACTGTTCACCCAGACACATACCTGTGTGACCTAAGTAGATCACAAGAGATCTCAACTACTTCTGTCCTGGAAGTGCCCTCATGGCCCTTTCCTGACGGAACCCACTTCTGCCCCAAGTAACCAGTACACCAATCAGTTTTGTCTCCTTGAGCTTCTGGGGATGGGAACATATTAAACCTTTCTAAGCCTCAGTTTCTTTACAGGTAAATGTAAAACCGAAGGGCTGATCTGGAGTTCAGAGAATCTAATGCAAACAGCACATTGTGAAGTCATTGGTGAAAGATGTGTCAAACAGGTGACACGGATAAGGCCAAGCTGTGTCTTGTCTGTGATTGCCATTGCTGGTTTCAGGGACTTCTGCCTGTTGTGCCAGAGAAGCAGGCCTTCCCCTCATGCTGCCTGTAACTCATGTGTTTTCGGTGTCCGCCATGCCCCTCCATATCCTGTGCCTCTGAACACACATTGGAGATTGTTCCATTAGTGCCTTTCACGATTTCTTACTAAAACCAGTTCTTCTTGCTTAATGCAGCAGAGAAATGGGCAGGAAGGCAGAGTTCTGCTGCCTATATTTCAAAGAGGGTCTGTTTGCTTGATTAGCAAAATCAACAGAAGCATTGCTGGATAGTGGGCTGGCCAGACCTGCTGCCCTGGGCCAGCTTTGCTGAAGTGCCGAGGGTTGGTCATTGTGTGGATTTAGCAGCAGTAGCACCACTAGCACCAATAGGAGGGGCTACTTCTTATAGCTTCTCAAAAACAAAGACAAACACAAAGAAACCTAACCCAGTTATTGCCTAAAATTCTACACTTACAATTTATTTCCTTAGGTCACAGGGAATACGATACCTGAGTTGAGGTCAAGTGCATTTTGGGAGGCTAAGACTTCATGATGTAAGACTCCATTTGGCTTTGATCTGAGTGAATTTTATCATATCCTGTCTTGAGGGTGGGAGAAGGTAGGGTTGTGCAGTTGGTAGGAGGCCCAGAGGGATTGCGAAGGAAAATTCCCTCAATCTGTGATGCAGTCTCAGACTGTGGTCTGCCCATGGGCCATCGTCACACATTGACATTTAAACTAAGTGCTTAGTTTATGTGGAGTGTGCTGTGACAGGATGGAAGTTAGAGGTTATAGTCCCTGCCCTTCAGGAGCTTTGAGCTGGAGACCAAGAATTGAACAGGCAGTTTCAGGGCAGGCTCTTAAGGGCTATACTTGGAAGACCATGGCCTTTAAACCCGACTGGGGGTATGGGGCTATCATGGCCCTGGAGGTAGTATCGTTTGGGTTCAGATCTGAAAAGTTCTTAGAAGCTAGATCTCCAACATCTGAAATGTGATTCATGTCAGTGTATCCTTGGCACTCTCACCAGGAAACACATTGCCAAGGCTACCTTCTGCCCACCCTATAAATGAGGTTCTGCTTTTCCAGAACTATTGGACACTCCTGGTTGGCATGCCATGGATTTGATTCCGACATCCTTACCGCTTTTCTAGCCCCTGCAATATAATCTTGAAGACAAGAGTCTTCTAACTGCAAAAGATCTTCCTTTCCCTCTGAAGTAACTGAAAGACGCTGGTCAGCAAGATCTATCTGGAAACTGAAGACTTTATTGGTAAGAGTTTGTGAATAAGAGCATAACCCTGCCAAAGAGCCGGAAGAGAGATCTGTTTGTTGTGGAATAGATACCCGCCTGGCATCCCTCGTGTGGCTAGCGATTGCGTAGGGAGCCAGCATGCCAAATTTCTCCAGTTACCATGGGACCCAGACTGAGACAGGAAATCATGGTAGGATGGGAAGGAATCCAAAATACACACGGCTGGTATACAGGCTGCAGTTAGGAAAGAGAGTGAGAGAACAGTCTATCTATTTTTCTGATCGGGTACTGCACCGTCAAATGGGGTTGTTTTTCTAAGACTCCTAACATTTTATGGACCTGATTTTCAAGCTTCAATTTTTTCCACATTAAGCAATACTTAGGTGATTTGAAGTGATCCTTTTATATGTTTGTGGGGAACACCTCTTAGGCTTGTTTTTTTGTTTTTTTTTTAATTCCCAACTGAAAAAGAACCTAAAAAACTAAAAGAGAATTCCAGACTGAAAAAGAACCGTCAGGCAGGCAGGACTTTTTTTCTCCAGCACCTGGAAGAAATCGCTTCGGGATTTTACCAAGATTGTGTCTGTGCTGTAAGCAGCCCCCTGGAAATGTGGGACCCCTCTGAGATGGAGTGTGCCACCGGAGACAGGGGGCCTGCTGAAAGGCAGCAGGCTTCTTGGAAATCTCGGTCACCAAATCCAGCAACTGAAATTTCTCATTCATGAAGAAGTACATTTGCACCCTGCACGTGAAGTTGTTGTTAAAAAGAAGTTGAAAAATCGGGAAGGATCTCTTACTTGTACTTTTATAGCTGTAGCTCTGGAAAAGTTCAGCAGGGCTCTAACGCTGTACCGCTTGGGAACACCAGGCCTCCAGAGGAACATTTAACAGGTTGCTATTGATAGCATTTTCCGTGAACCACCCAGACAGACTTCTTAAGGGGGGGGGTGCTTAGCTGTTGACGCAATGACAGCTATAGCATGGGGTTTGCAATTCTATGCCCCATTAATACACCTCTCTCCTCCTCTCTCTCTCCTTCGCTCCCTCTCTCTCCCTCAGGCTAAGTGTAATTCATTGATTAACTTTATTTCATTGCATTTATTGCCTTTACCTCACACTGTAACATTGTAACTGTAGCCAGTTGGAAGAGAGGTGATGAAGCTGCTTGGTCCCTACTATAGATACGGTGCCTTAGGGTTTTTATACTTGAACAGTCTTTCCAGTTTGATATCTCTCCTGTTAGAGCATCAGTATTCCTGTGTCTTTACTATATGTGGCATGATTAAAAAATACAGTGAATGCTTAAATTTTTAAAAAATGCACAACAGTAAAAGACACATTGCCATTAATCCCACCTCAAAATACTCCCCTTCACCTCAGACACACTTATTGAACCTGTTTTGCCACTTTCTGAAGCAGTTCTGGAAGTCCCTTTCTTTCTTTCTTTCTTTTTTTTTTTTTTTTGGTACCAGGGATCGAACTCGGGTCCTTGCGCTTGCACAGCAGGCGGCGAAACCACTGAGGTAAATCCCCAGCTGGAAGTCCCTTTCATGAGTATCTTTAGTTATGCTATCGTAGCTGGCTGGATGTTCTGAATTGATTCAAAACATTTACCTTTCATGATCATTTTGACTTTGGGGAAGATCCAGAAGTTACACAGTGCCAAATCTGGTGAATAAGGTAGGTAAGAACTACCTTATACCTTGTATCGGGGATCGAACTCAGGACCTTGCGCTTGTGAGCCAGGTGCGGCACCA